ATTACACAGAGTTAAAGAAAATGGGGACTCTGTCTTTGGGCAAGTACTCAATGGCATCTTTCAACTTAAATGAACTCGACGCTTCCGGTGGAACGTATTCGGAAGAATAATTTCATATCACCGCCACGGTGGTCTAGCGGTTAGAACGCTGGCCTTGTAATCCTGGGGTCTCGGGTTCGATTCCCGACTGTGCCCGAATTTATAACTTGTGTTGGGCAAGGCCGTGGTCTAGGCAACACGGAGTTTTCCTCCGTGGCATCCCAACAATTACTCCACTCACACACAGAAGAAGGCAATGGCAAACCACTTCTGGATGGTGGTCTAGCGGTTAGAAGGCTGGCCTTGTAATCCTGGGGTCTCGGGTTCGATTCCCGGCCGTGGCCGAATTTATAACTTGTGTTTGGCAAGGCCGTGGTCTAGGCAACACGGGGTTTTCCTCCGTGGCATCCCCACAATTACTCCATTCACACACAGAAGAAGGCAATGGCAAATCACTTCTGGATCATCTGCCAAGAACGTATATGAACAGGTCCCAGTCCGAGAAAAGGATGGAAGGATCCTGTTCATATGGACCTGTCGTCAGACAGAACACTAAATAATAATAATATAAATAATATAATTTCGTTCTGCATTGGTCTGGTCTAATACCTACTTTGAGTCAAAAGCAAATGGTGTGTTATTTTCCTGGAAAGCAGCTTAACGTATTGAAAATTGCTAAATAACTTGAAGTAAGGCAGTTTTGTACAGAGTTTTGGTGAACGAACATGATTCCTCCTATCCATTGGGTACCGGGGTCCTTTCCCGGGGATAAAGCCGGCCGGGGCGTGATGCTGACCACTCACCCCCATCTAGTGCCGAGGAGAAGAATGAGTAGGAGTTATATTACCTCTCCCCTCAAGCGCCTACATGGCGTATAGTGGGACAGCTTTTCTTTACTTTAAGTTCAGTTTGCGTGCATGGAAAATATTTAAGGACGTGCTACAGAAACAATTTTTATTAATGCAGTGTAATTTATGGAATCACTACAAGGTCGCATTCGCTGACGGCACGTGTCTTATTCTTCCAGCAGAAGTCGCGTCATCATAGAGACTTCACTCTGGGCCCACCGCCGTTGCTGAACACGGTAGCCGCCCCCAAGCCCAGCCCCCCACCGCCCCTAGAAATAGATAATTTGGAAGAAGATGACGACTACGACCCGGCGGAGGACGAAATCTTCACCAAACAGAGTAAGTGAGATTGTTTTTTGTTTTTCATCTTCATAACCGTGTTCCAGTCAATAAACAACTTCTTTGTTTGTTTAAAGTTGTTATACAGGGCTAGTCTAAATGATGTTCTCGATTTTAAAAACATGTCACTCACGTTTAATGAAATTCAGATGCAGAAAATTGGTACCGATGGAAAGAGAAACTCTCCAAGTTTATGTTGGTATACTTCGCGGCCGCGTAGTAACACTGTTCGCCGCCAGGGGCGATATGAGAGAAAATGGCTGCCATCGAAGACAGGGGAGCCTTTTGTGTTGGATATCCACGTTCATCAGTCTGTTATTAGTGTGAAACGGCATTTACGAACCAAGTTTGCGGCAGATCCACCCAGTGGACATATAATTCGTAAGTGGTATTCCGAATTTAAGAAACGGGGTTGCATCTGTAAGAGAAAGTCAGTAAGCGAGCAACGTGTCTGGGAGGAACTCGACTACAGGCTGGATGTGTGCCGAGTTACCAAGGGGGCTCACATCGAACACCTGTGGTGTTTATTTATTAGTGTTCTGTCTGACGACAGGTCCATATGAACAGGATCCTTCCATCCTTTTCTCGGACTGGGACCTGTTCATATACGTTCTTGGCAGATGATCCAGAAGTGATTTGCCATTGCCTTCTTCTGTGTGTGAATGGAGTAATTGTTGGGATGCCAATGAGGAAAACTCCGTGTTGCCTAGGCCACGGCCTTGCCCAACACAAGTTAAAGTTACAGAGCGTTCGCGTACAGTTTGGAACATGAACACTAAATTTTTATGTAGTTCGAAGACGTGGAATAATGAGACCAAATACAAAATGACTTACTTATTTATAAAGCGACGGGAAGAAGGAATTTGAAGGAATCGGACTTGGATGTTAAGACAGTTATTAAATATGAGTAGAATAGTTGTAATGCGTGATTTAGGGAGACGTCTGATAATATTAATATTAATGTAAACGGTAGTTTTGTATAACAAATAAAAAACATAGAATATGCCTATGTTTGACCCAAAACAAGCTGTCCATTGGACCCCAAGTAAAAAATATGTACGAGGTCGATAAAAACCACAGCGCTCTATTATAAAATATTTAGCAAATAATTTGGTGGGGCGAAACCTCAGTGTTCAACAATTATGAAGGACGAGAGCGAACATGGTAAGAAGAAAAAGAAGAAGAATTAATAATACTCAAGGCTGCGAGGTACTAGAGTCTAGTCGGATGCTATTGAATATCGCCCTTCCTGCGAGCCAACTGTAAATAAATTCGTGTTTTCTAACCATGTAAAGTGCCCGCCACAATTTAACAACTCAGATGG